TCGCAGAGAGACACGGGATTGGCTGAGGCCAGGTGGTCCAATATGTCTGCGCCCTAATCCGACGCCACACCACACCACACAACTACATGGATTTGGAAGGGCGTGTAACCGACCATAGGATAAGAATCTGCCGAACATATTTATTTGGTTGGTTTCTTTTGGTTTGCTTTTTCTTTGTGTTTGTGTCATGAATGTCTACGCATAAGTGGCTTAGCCGCGTTTCACAACAACTTATTTCAATAAGTTCGCTTTACTTGACTTCCTGTAATCGAAAGTCGATTTAAATGAAGGGATCCTTTCGTTGCTGGGTCTGATTGATCACAAATTTTTACTGATATGTTTGTGATAGGCCTGTACGTGATATCAGCGGGAGTTTCATTGTCATTGTCACTAGTTTTTCTTTGCTGCGAAAATTTTTCTACCTATGACGTGCTAATATATTTGGGTTTTTGTTTGGTCCATAATTTGCAAAACTTGACTGTACTTTCTACTTTGAATTAGCTATCCTTAACCCTCTAAATCCTCGTCCAGATCTCAAAACTGCTTAAACTTTGATGCGTTTTCAGCAGATGTTTACTTTATTCGGATTTGTTTTTTTGATTAGTTATGAACAAGACCCCCAGCTTTCTAAGCATGCACTGGTTTCTAGCATTATTCAAAAGTTTTGAAAGAGTCATCATTGTGTTAGTAGTCTTCCGAATCAATCTTAATTAAACTGCCGTGGTTGGAAAGCAAAATGCAATAACAAAAAAGTGTTTGCATATCGTCCGGCGTTGTTAAACACCTTTCTGTTAAATCTATTATTGAAGACCTATTTGTGCAACATTTTTAGCTGGTTTTGCCTGTCTCCCTATTCTCTGGATCGTGAACTTCGTTTGGTTCTTCTCCGCTGCCTTCTTGGGTCCGCCATCTGAAGATAGGAAGAAGTTTCGCCTTTGTAAGTTTTTCTTCATGATCCTTATTTACCTACCCAAAATTTCCTAGACGTCTGCTTAAGCTTCTTCGGTGCTCTGATTTGGATTCTCGGTCTTATCATCTGGAATATTGTCTATTCTCAAAATCGCATTTCCTGGGGAGTACTAGGTGATCGTCTCTCTTTTAACATACCACCTGGTGAACTGTGAATATGGACATCCCCGATTTGTTGCAGCTTGAAGATGTTGTTCAAACCGTCAAACTTGGAAATCAACATGACCAATATAATTACTTCGTCTCAACTACCAAAAAACTCTCTGTATGTTGTTATTCCGGTTACCATACTTTCATTAGGACCAAATCTTCATGTGTAAAAACATCATCGATAGACTTCTTGATCCTCCTTCCCACTCAGAGCATAAACGGGCTTATTTCTGGATTCATGCTGCTGGTGGAATGGCTATGGATCGTGCTTCAGAGATCGCTCTTAATCTGTGTAATCGTTTTTACCCTAATCAACTTGAAATGTTTATTTACACCGACACTCTGAAAACTGAAGAGGAGGTGAGAAATGTATTCTCTGTTTTATTGCCTTTTTGTTTTACTATTATGCTAACAATCCCCTTCTCATTTAGTACATTCGTGTTACTGCCGACAGTAAAGTAGTTGAAAAAACAGCGCTTACATTGAAACCAGCCCTCCACATTCGCCTGGCAGTAACTGCCTCGTTGTCTTCTAGCGGCCCCCGTTCTGTTCAGTTAAGCATCCCATCAAACTACTTTACCACCATCCATATCAAATGACTCCAATTTTCTTTGTATGTGCTTAATAAATTTTAAATTTATCTTTTAGTGTTTACTTGCGCGTGTGTGCATGCTTGGAGCGTCTGAATTTATTAGTTGTTCGGCTTCTTTTATGGTGTATTCTGTAGAATCCTCTGGCGTATTTTCCGACTGTAGCTAAAAGTACGAATAATCTGGTGCTTAACTGCCTTCTAATTTGTAGTATTAGTTTTGTTTTGTAAACAACGCGAAACCACAAATCCTCCTCAAATCGAAGTTCCTTAGGGCTCAAACGCAACAATATGGCAATTTAAATGTATCTAGTGTATCTAAATGATCACTAAGAAATCTTTGAAAAGCATGATAAGTTTTTAGGTCTAGTGGTTCGTTGTCGAAGCTATTGATGACTAGTTATGGTTTCGTGACCCCATGTACAACTTACCAACTACCGTGTCAATTTTCAAGCTTTCTGAATGCTACTACCTTCCTTTTAGCCTCTTGTTGAGTCACTTTGAAACCAAAAGGTAATAATGACTTCGCTTAATTCGAGTGTCATCTTTTGGAATGAAGAGGAAATTGCACCTCACAGCATTCTCTTCATTTCGTCGGGTGCAGTTGGTGACCGACTGCTTTTTTGGCAGTCAACTGCTTCTGTTGGTGACACTCAGAGTGAGCAAATGAGACAAGGCTGTGAATATACCAAGGCGAGTTCCGCATAATCTACGACTTCTCTGTCCATGAATTGTGTAGTCGGTTTATGAAGTGGCTTTGTAGAACAGACGAGTTACTTTCCTCAATCTTAAATTTTAAATTTCTATCACGAGAAGGCTCACTGGCTTGGACCATTTTTCTGCATATTTTTTCACAATTAAATCAGTCTCTTTAATGAGCTAAAAGTGTCATAAAGACAATTTCAAGTTTAAGTTTAAAAAATCTGATGACACTTTATCGCGCGTTTCATGGTCAGTGAAACGTGTCATAATTTCCATTGCATTCTATTGGTGCTTCCGTTTAATGAATCCAGAACATTTTAGTCATTCAGTCTGACGAATTGAGAGACCATCAAACGCCATGGTTTTAATTTCGGGTGGGGTCCTCTTTCGTGCTATTTCTGCTTCTACTCATTGTTGAACTGAATCAATTAGAGCGTCATTCTTGCACCGTTTTCTCTACTTGATGGTCAGTAATCCCTGGCTTACAAGCAGTCAATGCAGTGATGTCCGTCCACAAACAAATTGGTCCGGTTTTACTTGTAACCGTTTCGCCACACTTCCATTTAATATCGTCGGTGTTTAAGAAGTAACTTGTATGATGGCTATAACTAGCCAACTCGTTAAAAAATGTAAAAATGATTCAACTAGGATATTACAGTGATCATATTCTCGAAAATGCTAATTTTGGTGTAAATGTCACATCTCAACAGGGATGTCGAAAATTTGTCTTTCTTGGGACGCCATATACCACTAACTAACCAACAAGAATGAAGTCTGTGGAAGGACAGAGAGTCAACCGTTTATTCGAGAACTTGACGAAGCCGAGGTGGTGTGTGGGGTTTGCGCTTGTGTATATATAGTTCGGATGTGAGTCATAACTGAGCTAACACCGAGACCTGGGTGTGAAGATAATCCAAGATAAATATTCGTGTGAATGAAGGGGTAGTTGAGGAGCCGCGCGGCTGGCGCCATGCTGCGAAAAAGGAGAAACCTGTGTCGGAGGCGGAGTGACCGGATTAAAGAGTTGAATAAACAGTTTAATAGTTTCTAATAACAGCAATTTTCCCCCACAAGTACGTATATTTGTTGTTGTCAGAGTTGATTAACCATCAGAGTTTACATTTAGCTATGTATACAGTAATGTGGCATCGTGTTGGAAAGTATTAGAATACTCGAATGGTTTATGAAGTTGGTCTTGGGTAAAATTACCTAGTAAAACTCATTAAATATTCCAGCATCAATTTGGATGCTTTGACTAGGAACTTCACAAAATTGGGTTTATGGCGAAATGCGTGCTTATTCTTCATGTAGCTTGGCAATACGGAAGCGATATCTCTAAGCACAAATGTACGATAATAGTTTACATTAGGGGATGTGTGCGAATCTTCTGTATATGTTCATGGCCACCCGTACAAAAGCATGATTTGATGTTTCATCGATGTCTCTAGGCACCGTTATTAAAATCTGGTAAATGCTGCTCTACGTCAAGAACGGTAGCATTTACTATAGCACAGTTGATCTCTAAGCTAAAATTGAGTCAAAGTAGTGTCGATGTGGGCGTGTGCTTTGCGACCTATCGACTGCAAAGCGCCACAGTGTTCTTTGGGGTGTTGAAGCAACATGCAGGTGTTCACTTCTATGCAAAAACGAGTCTGTCAAAGAGCCTGTCAGCAATGTTTCAACAAGCGTCCATTGATCGATCCTCTTCCAGCACCAGCTCGATCAAAGTGTTTCGACATTCCTTTGGGATTGTATTGTGGTTGGGGCGTATCTGCCAGTGAAACGAGAATGCTTACCTTTGTATACTTTTTTTCCCTTTAAGACAGAAAGTCTCCGCTGTGGAAACGATTCCCCATTCACAATGCGCACAGAGCCCAAATCCACTTCAGTGCAGCCATCGAGTGAGTTTATGCTTCTTTACCTCTGTGATGGCTTGAGCCAGCAACGTCTAATTTTTCTCAGCCGGTGTATATGCTCTATTGAACTCAAATTGTTCCAGCACTGCACTGATACTTTTTTGGGATTTCCTAAAATCAAAGCACCTACTTTATCCAAGAGCAGAAGTATCACTTATTTGGCTTTTACTAGCAAGAATAACTTTCGGATTTCCCCATTTGCGATGTTTTCTTCCAGGGGAATTCATGTCCGTCTCCCGTAGGAACGTGTGGTTCCCACCTCCCCACCACTTGCTCCGTTGTTGTCGGCTCTCCTATACAGGTTGGGGGTCCGTTTGGGGTGGCTCCCACTCCGGACGGGCAACCGTCCTGCAAGGGTCGTACTTCCGCTACCTGCAGTAGCAACACCCCAAGCGCCCAACGTCACTCCGCCGCTCCATGTGGCGGAACCGCTCCCACAACGCCTGGAGGCAACAGCAACTCAGGAGGAAAGACAGCAGTGGCCTCAACGGAAATGATAATCGAGGGGGTACCTGTCAGTTCCCTGCTTAGCCTACTACATCCTTCTACCAATAAGCTGCAGCACAAAATCTATGTTAAGGTATGGAAGTTGTTCGTGTGTCCATTTTGGAAAGTCACGATGGCTCACCCCTTTAGTTGACCGAATGAAGAGGATTTTGTATCTCGGAATCGAAGCCCTGAAGTGATAAACGCACCCTAATAAATGATTCCTTTCTTTTTGCTTCAAAATTAGCTTGCTCACACTAAAGCCTCAAATGGTGTAATCACTAAATGCCAATATTTTCACCTTTCTAATGCAGCAATCACTTGCAATGGGCCACATGTTGATTACAATGGAATGATTGGCACATTTAGTTCGATTTGGGTCATTGTTTCTGTCAATGTATCTAATAGCCAGTATTTTCTTGCCTATAGCTGAGCACGAAGGTTTTTGTTGGCGTGGCTTTCAGTTTGACGAAAGCTGTAATGGAGACTAACGGGATATCAGTGGTTAACCAGTCCTCACCCGTGATCAGTCGAGAAGGTTCGCTGCGTAATAAATGCAACTACACCTCGACAACTCCTGATTCTTTCATGGATTTCACAAGTATTGTTGATTTTCTTCGTCTTAAATCGCCCCTCCCTCCACCCAAATGTGACCGAAATCAAGTCCACGTCACTCACAATAGGGGGCCTTTTGTTGGCAGTGGTAAGCAAAGCGGGAAGATGGTCAACCAAACCGTCTCAAGCTTCGCTATCGTCTTTGCTCTCAATGAAACAGCCCCGCCCTGCGTTCAATCGTATTACACTGAACTCGCGCGTCTGGTAAGTTTTCTAATCATGAACTAGGGAACATTTTGTAAATTGTGTTCGGGGTCTGAGCCTATTAAGTAAAGAAGAGCTGACAAGCGACCGTTTTGTCAATGCACTGCAAGAGCAATTTTTCTCGAAGCGGAAATTCAGCACATACATTACTGATGCGGAATCGAGGGGGAAATTGTGCATGAAAATCAAGAACTCACATGCTCTCGGTCGCAGACATTGTAGCTCCAACTAGTACTTGACACTTCACGTAGTTCTGTTTGTTGTTGCCTGTCTGGCTTTGCTTTGGTTCGCATTTGCCATCAAATGAATATTATGCTAGCGTTATAAAATACAACTGATTTTCTGATAAACGCAATAAAGGGATTTTGGATATAAGTAGTTTTTGGCTAGACCTATTCGGCAGTTTTGGTCCGAGTCTCCCACAGATCATGTCTATTACAGCTAAATTTATTGCACTTTTAATGTTTTCGTTTATGTGTCCACAGTCTCGCAACCACTTAGTAAAGAGAACAAAGTTTAAGCTCTTTCGTTTAAAGACAGGGTCTCAAATGCGTCGTTCTGAACTGTACTGGCAATACCTGAGCCGCGAACGTGAGAAGATTTCTGCCATCCTCGATCGATGCGCAGGCATCATCAGCAGTGGAGACAGTCGAGTGGACGCCAGGGAACATGATGACGAGGATGACAGCATCCCCGTCAGCAGCCTTGATGGTGGAAACAACAAGGGCGACGAATCCACAGCACCTCTCCTCGTGACAAAGCGAGCTTCACTGGAAGCTCCTGACGACGATCCTGTCAACTGCGAGAAAAGGCAGTCTGTCGGAGGTTGTGAGGATCCCTACCAGATCTACAAACATATCGCAAAGCGTTCTCCACTTTGCAATGAACTCGCTCAAATTCTTGAACAAGTAGCTTCAAGCGGCCGAGTCAATGTTAAGGTCCGTTGGTAGCGTTTCGAAGCGTCTTCACTGCATAACATGACTAAAAAACTTTATCTCTACAGATATGCAATAGGTATTCCGTGTTCTTCTGTCTCCCATTCAAGGCTTACGCGATAATGCCTTTTGGGCTGAAAATGATAACCACTCCAAAACCCTGTCGCCCCGCGATTAGACCAGGAGCTGTTTGGCGCGCTATGGAGCGACTTCGACCGTACCACACACTGCTGTTAACTACACGAAAGCGCTTTCTCCGCTCATACACTGAATCCTTCCCCATAGACGTAAACCAATCCCTTGAAAGGTGAGGGCAAAAATTTTCAATAATAAGTAAGTTGAACCGCAACTCATGTGCTTTACATTGAAATTCCAATTGTTCTTATTTGTGAGGCGTGGACCACTACCGACACTTTGATCTAGCAGTAGCTTTCCTCTATGTACCATCGATATCAGGTGAGAAGCTTCTTTACTAATAACACTTTACTGTCCTTTAGTTTTGTCCAAGATCTCTCACCAGTCTCTAGTCTGAGTGCAATGTCAAGTCGAGGACATTCCCAAGAGGAATGTCTTCGTGTGGCACTTTGGCTGGTCTACTATGGACATGCAATTATAATCTCGCCCATTGTTACGAACAGCGCTTATACCCTGGCACCCCTCTCCCACTTCTGGCTTCAACCAAAGGTCGTCCTACAATTCGCAGCACAATTTTCCAAACTTAATTTTGCTGAGGTACACTGCCTTTGTTCATTTTAATACCTGGATTTTGTCTCAACTATCAGCTGATCATAATACAGCAAATCTTATCGCTGCTGTTTTGACATTCTGCCATATGACCCGCACTTTTTTATTTCTATTGCTCAAAACTCACAGATAGCACCCTCCTCGCCATATAGATTACAAAGCGATTTTTGTATGTGGCTTTATGATAAATATTAAAAGCGGCGCCCACATATGAACTAGAAGTCATTTCCCTGCCTGCCGTTTTCCTGGAAGGCGTAACACTACATTCTTTCAGATGACTAGGAGTTTTTGTCTTCTGAATGCGCTGAATGATAAACGGAGTTAAGTGCCATGAACCTCTTCCTTCCAATTTAGGTTCTTTCGTCCTTTTCCGACTACTACACTCTTCAAGAACACTTTGACGGGGAGTCCTCAGCGCATTTTTGGAGGGGATTAACAGTTTCGGAGCGAGTCGATCTAGTCGCATGGCTTCTCCGTCGCAGACTTATTGTACAACACCATACCTACTTGGTGTCGATTCTCCCGGGGGCGCCCAAAGATCATCCTCAACCGGGTGATATCGGAGGCAAGGATGTCTGCGAGGCCGGTTCATCTAGTGTATCGAACAGTTCCACAGAAGCCATGTTCGTTCGGATTCATCAAGGCTGTGGTGGAGCATTGTTACGGTCAGCATTGCCAACCGAGACCGACCGACAGCACGTCCTGGACCACTACCGCTCGACTGTCCAGCACTACCCCAAAATGCTTCACCTCTTTTTGCGTATCCTTACACAGCTACCGGCTCATATGGAAGAGCTAATGTTTGTTGAGTCGGTGGACAGACAAACTTTAACTAACTGCGTGCAGCTCTTTTCTCCATTTCTGACCACCTTGCGACTGCCCGATCCAGTGACAGCTTGTTTTGCCGGTGTAGAATGGTCTTATTGAGTTTTTTTTGTGACAAAACATGTCGTTGCATTCGGTAGTGCAATCACACAAACGCTTTCATTAATCAGGATACCGAAAATTTGGGTCGGCATTTAGAGCCTGTCTAGGTAAGTTAGTGGTCGGAAGAGCTCCCAAGGCTGTGTGCTACGGGTGCTGAACGGAAAGCCGATATATATCGTAGAAAATTAACGGCCAAACAAATAGGACTCCCAAAGTAACCGTCTGACTGTAAATGCGGACCCTGCACACTTGAAGTTAATGAGCGCGCATAGGTGGGGAGGGACGTTGCGTATAGTGAAAAGTTGGTATGTTGATTCGGTAAAGGGCGATAAATGTAAGTAATATGGATCAGGGAAGGTACATAAATAAAACTACAATGTAATTATGCATCAACTCGTTTGACCTTTGAACTATCGCCTCTGCATCGGGGACAGTACCAGCGTCCTTTTGGCTGCACCTTGATATCAACGCATGCAAAATGAAACCACTCGATCTCACATCGTACGTTATCACAAGCGATCATATCTCCATAAGAGAGCTTCTTGCACAAACAATAAAGTCGCTCTACTGCCGCATCACCTACAGTATTACCTGCTCGCACAGCGTCTCGTTTGCGGCCCCGCACGGGGGACAAGGTAGACCTGGGCCTCTGATGTGCGCGATTGTATTCCTCTGGTCCGCTGGACGAGGACGAAGATGAGACAGAGGCTTTTCTCGTGCGGTTATTCAGCTCATGTTCCAATGTGACCTGGTTTCTTCGCTGTAGTCCATTAATTCTAGAACGAGGGCGATGTACCGCAGTAGACAAAACCCGATTTTTAACACCCCTAAATGGGCCTCCGCGTACTGAAGAGCCGGTACACCGTCGACCACTTATCCATTTCGTACCACGAAGAAGGAGTTGCGACGGAGATGGGCGGTGATGCTGGTGAATGGCACGGCGCGACTTCACGGGGGGCTCCGACATTTGGGCCGGGATTGGGTTACTTGCAGCAGGAGGTGGGGTGTGACGGCGGCCATTACCCCCAGGGGTAAATGCGCTTAAAAGCTTGCGAAGCTGCTGATCGTCATTGATGTGCAACGTGGACTTCGATTGGGATAAAAACTGCGTCATCTGTTCCAAGGTTTCTTCAAGCTACTTTGCAAAAGCAACACATGAATATACAACAAGCAATAAAATCAATGAACGTTTAACCTAGGATATTAAACTTAAAGATGATAGCCATAAGTCACGAAATGAAGTAACAAACCCTTTGTTGACTCCGGCCACGAAATTAATATTCGATGGCCAAAAGAGAGAATCAAAAGATAAAAATTGGGAGAATTATAAGAGGGCGGATATCAGTGGCATTGTTCCATTACCATCACATAGGTAAAGCCTTTGTACAAGGTGGCCCAGATGAAAAGAAAAGTAAATATGGTAAAATTACAGAACTGCAAGGGAATAATGGTACAAAATCCTACATCATTCGCAACGGTGTCGTTTAATTGTAACAAGGATTTACTGTGTTTGCGCGTAATTTTAATAACAGTTATGACGGCGAAATAATTGAAAGCTACAGGTGTAGTTACAAAATAGTAGCTACAGGACACGTAAATATAAAGTAATAGAAGGGGGTAATGTGGTGGTGCGATTCAGTTGTAAATCATATAAGGGGGAGAGTTCAGGGAATTGAGCTTCAGAATGCAGCGAAAAAAGCAACCCTGTGTTCTTGAAAGAAGTCGTGAATTTGTTTAAAATAACCTACATATGTCGTGAATACAAAGCAGAAAAAGAGACCTTTTGTAATTGTGTAGCATAAAGTCGGTCAAAATTAATGGTAAAGAAGGTGAAGAGGTCTTACATTAAATAATGAATGTAGCTAAAATTAGAGTGAGCAGTATCTGGAAGTGGCCAGCTGAAAAACGCTAAAAAAGTGGCACAAAATGACCTGTCTCAACATTAAAGGAACATCAAACTAACCTCACTGACTTCACTTAGACTGGCATCGTACACATCATTGAGCCGAATCAACATTTTCATTACGTCATTTAACGCGAAATCGCGTCCTCTTTCCGCGAAGTCTACCAGGATTGACTCAATATTGTTGAAGAGGCTGATTTGGGAAGCATCAGAATCAAAAAATGTTGTTAAAAAGGACTGCAATATACGTGGTACTGTTTGCGTAACCGCAACGTAATTGGAAAAATATGCATTGACATCCCTCCCAATCATATTTTTGACGTGTGTCCAATCAAAATGGGCGCAGACATGTTGGACCACCTGGCCTCAGCCAATCCTGTGTCTCTCTGGGTTCTAATGGCATGCGAGAAAGGTAAGCAGCCAACCAGAGAAGGATACGAATGAGGAGCAGCATGTAATGAGGGGCGTGGCCAGCGTGGTGGACTCGGATGGAAGGCGCCTGACGCGTGGCTCTGGCCTCTGATTGGTCAATAAAGCCTGTTC